TTGTGTACTTATTTTGCTAACTGTTATGAATTATTGCCTGAAAGTGATTTATATGAGTTTGTGCCTGATGTTGCTTTAGTTGAATCTCTGGTTGAATATGCTTTACATGACCGTGCTTGTTTTGTTGTGTGTTTTACCGTGCTATCTGGTATGAATCTGTGCTTGACTTTGCTCTATATGAATATGTACGTAAATGTGTTTCATCTGAATGAGCTTTATCTGAATGTGCTTACTACTTGGGTATGCTCTGTTTACGTTAACTGCTCCAACTAGATATTCGTGTCTATAGGTGCTTATTTGTTATTTAATTGTTATCTAGTTCTGCGTTTCTTGTTTCTAATTTTCTTGTGCAGGTCCAATCCAATAGGGCACTCCGTCAGACTCAATCCACTAATATAGATATTCACCTTTGTCAATTTATTGGCAAAAAGGGGGGGAGTATATACTAAGGGGGAGTATGGTTGGAATAAGGGGGAGTTTTTGTTAATTCTGGAATATGGAATCTGTTATGTTTAGTATTTGGCATGAATGGATTATGGATTCTATTTTGGTATAAGGGTCTCGGTTGCATTATGGATTGGATTATCTTTGGATGAAACAATCTACAAATTTCTGATAATATTATGATGGACTATACTGGGATTATCTTTGGATGAAACAATCGACAAATTTCTAATAATATTATGATGGACTATACTGGGATTATCTTTGGATGAAACAATCTACAGTTTTGACTCCTCTTACAGTGAATTGAATGGGACTTATTTGGGAAAGGAGCTACGGTTCACAGGCCAAGGTAATTCAATAATTAAACTCGTACTTGTAGTATCTTGTCAAACAGATATACTATGGGCTATTTGTTAATAAAACTCATGTTTACTATCTTTTGTTTGCCCTAAGTATAGATGTCTTAGTTTTTGGCATTTGAATTGCCAAAGGGGGAGATGATTGTAAGTGTACAAATGATACACATTAAAAACCCATTTGTATTGGCTAATTTAATTGTCAATCTAATTAGTGCGTGTTGAATTTCCTTATGGACCATGAACCGTATCTCCAGTCAAGAAGATATGTACAGTCTATAAGGGAGTTTATTTGGTAAGTTGGTTGTTTGGTAATTCTTGGTAATTTTGGTGGTTTAATATTTTTGGTAACTGGTTTATTGAAAATAAATAGCACTAAGTTAGGGGGAGTAGTCGAAAGTAAACGACGTCAGTGTGACTTGAATGGTATGTTTGGTACACTCTTAACTTATGACATGCATGGATTACTGGCAGCATAATATATATATGTGAAATTTGTGAAGTCAGTCAACAACCAACAAGGTCTAAATAATTAAATCCCACACACAAGTGGTCTATGGTCCAAAAGAATTAAATTCCCAACTGTAATTTATTTTATCCTGTTGTTCAGTACGTATACTACGGGACGTTAATAAAATAAAATTCTGTTATTTCCCAGAGTATATTGATACTGTAGTTTTACCAAATAAATTGCCAAAGGGGGAGATTGTAAGTGTACAAATTAGTACACATTAATTTGGCTAATTAATTAGTTTAATTTATTAGATTGATTTATTAGTTTATATTATTTAGTAGTATTATTATTTAGTTAATCTTTTTGACCAAAATCAATTTGTGGTGGAGATTTTCTCATGAAGAAGGATTCAAAATGCAAGTCAGAGATTACTAAAGAATGAGTGGCTAAGGATGTTTGAATCACATGTACAACACATAATGTGGATCAAGAAAGTGGAAGGTGAAGCGTATAAAAGGAAAGCACATCAAAAGGGAAACTTGCTAATTTTGAGACTACAATTCTGAGTGCACACTTTCCTTACAAAGCTTCCTAATTTAATATGCTATGTTATTTAATTATTAAGAAGATTTAAATCTGTAATACATGTTTTGTACGTGGTACTGCTGAAGCATCTTGTGAATATTGTTCTGGCATACGTGTGTCAGTCCTGGATAGGTGTTAGAAAGAGTGGTAGTGGTAAAGGCTCGAGGCCATATGTATTTACCTCTTGCATTGTAATACTCCTTTTGGTGAACATCTATAGTGGATTGGGTAGACGTGGAGTGCCCCGCAGATGTAGGAGAAGGAGCTCCGAACTGCGTAACAATTTCTTTGTGTTTTTACTTTCGTTTATGCTTTCTGTCTTCATTATTTATATTTGTTTAACCAAGTTTAATTAATGAACGTAACTGGTGCTTAACTTAAAAACAAGTAAAAATACATTACTTTTTGATTTCAAGATTCACGGTGCAATTTCATTCATATTTATTAAATTAATAGTAAAATAATGGTAGAAATAATTTTAGAACATTATGGATTCTCGAATTACGGATTCTTTCTCATTTTTCATTTTTTACTGCTAATCTTATTATTATTAAGTGTTTGGGTAAAAAGTTAAAATGGAAGATTTTGTTTTTAATAATAGTATAGAGTATAGATTATTAATAACGGATTCTTTTCCAATTTTCATAAAATTAGGAATTTTGATATAGAATTGTAGTACGAATAGGAAAGTAGAAAATAATATATTCTATAAGGAATTGTATTACACTATTTTATAATATTATACAAACCTTAATAGTATAGATTATTCTTAACTTACTCATTAAATATATATTTTGAAAATGAAAATCTCATTTATAATCTTGCATTGATATACTTTGAAGTACTTATATAAAAATAATCAGTGGGCATTATCCATTTGCGCAATGCGCGTAAAAAACTAGTACTATTGATAAGATTCAATCCATAGACCTCATAATCCTAGAATATCAATACAAGCTACCCCAAAATTCAAAAATCATTATACATAATAATATATTTCTATTAAAACAAATATATATAGGTGGGCCAAACTTAGGACCGCCCCACCTAGGCTGACGGGCCAAGTGAAGTGGTCCTCTAAAATCGAAACCCACACCTGCCTATATAGGGGAAGGGTGGGGCGAGCCAGCAAATAAAGCCCGTGGGAGGGGTGGGGCGAGGCGGCAAATAAATTAAAGCCTGTTTTTATCGCTCTTGTTCATAACTTAAGGGATTAACAATGTTATGCAAAAACATTAATGTAGGCTGTCGAAACGAGCCGGTAGGGTGGGGCCTGCCATATGGCAGGAGCGAACTGAAAATCCCTCCAAAATATGGGCCTAAGAGCGGCCGCCCCGCGGGCCTTGGCGGGGGCCTAGCAAATTTGAATATATATAAATTTAAATAAAAACTAATATCCTTTCAAAAAATAAAAATTAATATAAAAAGAGTTAATTACTATATACTAAAATAATTAATTTGGATAGTTTAAACATAAATTTCAATAGTTATCTCTTTGTTTTCTTGAGTAATATTGACTCTATTACAATATAGTATTGTTCGAATCTGTGACCTCCTATTTGAGAGACCTACAGATCGAGGTGCCATTTTGAACACCAAACTACCAGAATGCATTAATTAATTAATTAATATGTGTGAAATACAACTGGGTGGTGAAGAGTTCCAAGACCCAAGGACCAATGAACCAGTTGCTCGTGCCAGCTACCTGATTCGCTAACCTTTTGACATGGCGAACAGACATGTTCCCAATATCACTAGCAATCAAACAACATTGCCTAATAATTAAACCTACATACGGAAGATCCAACGAAAGCGAATTAAAATTGACACAGAAACTTAATCAATCAGACTACTCGACTATGAAACTGTTGTTCTCGCGCCATTTTAACGAAGTTAGTGCTTCCTTGACAGTTATTACCTCAGCGAGATAAGGATCCTGGAGACATATCAACCTTCCGCTCCGGGCTGCGACGAACCTACCGCCATGATCACGAATTACCGCCCCATATCCTGCGCCATCAACAAAAACCGCAGCATCCATATGATATAAGATACAAATTAATTCTTCTCCCACAAATTAATTGAAAAACAAAACTCTTTTGGAAAAATGATTAAATTTTTAATTAAAAATTATAATTATTGTTAAATTATACCATATTTATACAAACTACATGTATACAGATATTTTATTTTATTTTTAAATACCATATTTATATAAACTACATGTATACACATATATGTCTTTGTATTTTATGTAATGATGGTAAAATTAACAACAGAAAAAATATTAAGGATAGACTTGGTAAGAAATTATTAGCATCTAACCTCGGCACATCATTATTTCTAATACAATATAATGGCAATTGGCAGTAATCCTGTGATTCATCATATGAATTCGCCCCATCACTGAAAAAAACAATGCAAAATGGAGAACATATATAAAACCACATGAGAATTGAAGAAGATATTTATTTTAAACAGATTTGGCAAATAAAACAAACAATAATATAATTGAAGAGAAAAGAAACACATACCTAGCTAGCTAGCTAACATCATGAATCACGTCGTCGACAACAACAGTAAGTGGCGTATAGAAAGCATCAACTCGAATTAGGCGAGCTTTCCTGATATTGTACGCCTCCCAAGGGTCGTTTGACTCTTTCCGAAGCCACTTTCGCTCCTCCAGAATCTTCATGGCTACACCGGCAACATAAGGGGAACACTGCTCCACCTTAATTGTCTCTAGGCTGTCAATATATCTAACTTCAAATAAGATCTCTTCCAAACGATAACAACGTCTTAGGATTAGACAACTTAGTTTTGGGAAATTGGTACTCTTGACCACCCATTTCTGGAGATTTGTAGCCTCAATGAGCAACACTTCTAAGTTAGAAAATATTTCAAATGGTCCCCACAATTTATTAGAGAATGCTACTGCTGCCAAGTCAAACACAAAGTCAAGAAGACAGTTTAGTTAGTTATATTTTGCTAAGTCTGTTAGTTTGTTACATTCTGTTTAGCTCATCTTCCTCCCTGTACATATACTCTCCTTTCCTGCTGTTAATGTAATAATGAAAATTGTTTCTTCTACTTTCTGATCAACCAAATCCTCTCTTCCAAATCTTATAATGGTATCAGAGCCCCATTGACGCTTATCAATGTCGTGGGCATTACCATCTGTTAACACCAATCGGCAACAATCTTCTAGCTCGTTGACGCACCCAATTGCTACAGAAAATCCGATCCCAATTCCAAACCCTAATCCCACAGCGACTTCAACAAATGTTGCGAATTCAGTCCACTTCGATCCGAGTGATAGCACCAGTCTGTATTTCCTCCACGCAAATGAGAGCCCGGCGCTGGAACTGGTCTCATCTGTGTTGGACGGAAGCAATTATCATGAGTGGGCGAGAACAATGAAGATTGCTCTCTCATCCAAGAACAAACTCGGATTCGTGAACGGTATGATCAAGATGCCTAGCTCAGATGACCGGAAATTCTTTTTTTGGGAGCGTTGCAACAACATGGTTGTGACCTGGATTGCTCGTGTGCTCTCTCCAACCATTGCTCGAAGCGTTCTTTGGATTGATACAGCAGAAGGAGTGTGGCTAGACCTACAGAAAAGATTCAGCAAGCAAGCTGTGTTCAGAATAGCAAAAATTCAGGCAAGAATTTATCAAACAAAGCAAGATAGTAGTACTGTAAATGAGTATTTTACTAGATTAAAATTGCTTTGGGATGAGCTATCCATTTTGAGACCTGCACCTGCCTGCATTTGCCCTCAGAAATGCAAATGCAGTGACAACTATATAGGCAAAGCTGTGACAAATTTTGAAAATGACATGTTGTGTGCTTTTCTTATTGGCCTTGATGATAAGTACACTGGGACAAGGAATCAAATAATGTTGATGAGACCATTGCCAGATGCAGGAGAGGCTTTTTCTATGATCTCTCAACAAGAAAGGCAGTTTTATACAAGCCTTAACAATCCCATCAGTTTTCTTGGGCATTCTGCTGATAACCAAACAGGCAGTGCCATGCTTACTAGAGGAGATAGACAGTACTCAAACAACAAACCAAAGGTGGTGTGTAGCTATTGTGGATTCACAGGACACTCCATCGACAAGTGCTACAAGAAACATGGCTATCCTCCAAGGTGGAAACATAGAGGAAAGAATGTTGGATCTGCAAATCAGATTCAAAGCAACTCCAAGGAAATGCCTACTCATTCTGTCAACCAAGATGGATACAAGAAGTACCTTGAGTTTCTTGAATTCATGCAGAGGGAAAAGAACACTCCCCTGGAGATAAGCAGCCCTGGTATGACATCCCAAGTACCCCAGGCCAACATCATATCTGCAAATTTTGTTCCAGGCACAGAAGGATAAGGTAAGCACACTCTCAACTCTACAAATGTGTGGATTATTGATAGTGGTGCTACACATCACATAGTATGTGATAAAAGTCTTCTTACCAATCCCAATAGAACTTATGGAAAATATGTTTCTCTGCCAAATGGAAATAGAGCTGCAATTACCTATATTGGTTCTGTACATCTATCAGATTTACTTGTGTTGAGGGGTGTCTTGTGTGTCCCAGTTTTCCAGTACAACCTAATCTCTATAGGTGAATTGGTCAGAACTTCAAGCTATCAAGTGTTGATGCATTCTAACAAGTGTATAATACAGGACACAATCCTTGGGAAGATGATTGGCACAACTGAGCTAAAAGATGGTCTGTATCACCTAGCTGGGGCAGGAACTCCTTCTCTAGTTTGTAGACCTTTAGTGAATTCTGTTACAAGTAATATCTGGCATGTAAGGTCAGAACATGCTTCTCATGCAAAAATAAGAGTTCTAGAGACTTTAAATGTAAATGTAACTACTGGAAAGGAGACTATATGTGATTGTTGCCATTTGGCCAAACAGAAAAGATTACCTTTTCATGCTAGCCAATCTTCTACTACTGCCTGTTTCCATCTTATTCATGTGGATATCTGGGGCCCTTATCATGTCAAAACCTTGTTTGGACATCAATATTTTCTCACAATTGTAGATGATTACAATAGAGTGACACGAGTTCACCTTATGAGAACTAAAGATGAGGCAAAACATCTTGTGCACGGCTTTGGTAATATGGTCTACACTCAGTTTGGACAGAGAGTGAAATGCATCAGATCAGATAATTGGAAGGAATTTTCAATGCCAGAATATTACCTGCAAACAGGGACATTGCATAAGACCTCATGTGTTTACACCCCTCAGCAGAACAGTGTAGTGGAAAGGAAGCATGGTCACATTCTAGCCACAGCTAGAGCTTTAAAGTTCCAAGCTGGATTACCTGATTTCCTCTGGGGTGAGTGCATATTGCATGCAGTATATATTATGAATAGGCTACCCTCAGCAGCTTTGAATAATAAGGTACCCTATCAACTCTTGTACAATAAGCTTCCCAACTATGAGCAATTTAAGGTTTTTGGCTGCCTTGCATATGCATCTTCTCTTGGTGGTCATAGGACAAAATTCTCACCTAGGGCAAAGAAGTGCTTGTTCTTGGGTTATACTAATGGGGTTAAAGGCTACAAGCTCTATGATGTTCAAACCAAAGAAGTCCTTGTTTCAAGAGATGTGGTGTTCTATGAAGGTGCTTTTCCCTTCAAAGATAAAGTGAGCCCACAACCAATTCTACCATCCACTGGAATTGGCTATGAACCTGCAGTCACTCAACAAAGCCAAGAAGAACCAGATGATCCACACACTGTGTCTGACATACAATCAAATGCAACACCTGATGTGCAAATCCAGCCTGTGATGCAACCCCCTCCCCCAGACCTGAGGAGATCCACAAGACATAGAACTATTCCATCATATCTGGCAGACTATGATCTCCAAAAAGGAGGGGTTTCACCTCATACTCTGGCCTCAGTTATATCACATGATAGACTCTCCCCAGCCTATCAAGCCTATGTGATGAGTATTTCTTCCATCAAGGAACCTAAGACCTACAATGAAGCCATACAAAAAGACTGTTGGAAGCAGGCTATGGCTACTGAAATTGAAGCTTTACAAGAAAACCAGACATGGACTCTTGCAGTTTTGCCTCCCACCAAACAAGCCATTGGATGCAAGTGGGTTTTCAAGGTCAAACATAAGTCTAATGGGAGCATTGAGAGGTATAAGGCCAGATTGGTTGCAAAGGGATATACACAAACAGATGGGCTAAACTATCTGGACACCTTTAGCCCAGTAGCTAAAGTTACCACTATAAGGACTCTTCTGGCTGTTGCAGCTGCTAAGGGATGGAGCCTACACCAATTGGATGTCAATAATGCATTCCTTCATGGTGACCTCCATGAAGAAGTCTATATGACACTTCCACCTGGCTTCGTTGCACCTAAACCTGGCATGGTTTGCAGATTAACCAAGTCTCTCTATGGTTTAAAACAGGCCAGCAGGCAATGGAATGCGAAACTTACCACAGAATTAGTCCAACTTGGTTTTAAGCAAACTACTGCTGATCCATCCTTGTTTACAAGAGGCTCAGATGACAGATTCATTGCTCTGCTGGTGTATGTAGATGATGTGGTTCTAGCTAGTCCTGATAAGCTACAGATTCAGGAAATTAAAGGACATCTTCACAAAGCTTTTCAGATCAAAGATCTAGGTTCACTCAAGTTCTTTCTAGGTCTGGAAATTGCAAGAAATAAGGAGGGAATTTCTGTCAATCAAAGAAAATACACCCTGGAGCTGTTAGACAGTACTGATTTTCTACATAGTAAACTAGTCAGATCACCTATGATTCCCTCACTAAAGCTAAGCAAAGAAAGTGGCATTAAACTAGCAGATACTACTGAGTACAGAAGATTAGTGGGTAAGCTTTTGTACCTAAACATTACAAGGCCAGATATAAGCTTTGCAACACAAAAATTGTCACAGTTCTTGGACTGCCCCACAGATATACACTTACAAGCTGCTCATAGGGTTCTTAGGTACATCAAAGGTGCACCTACCCAACGCCTATTCTTCCCTGCATCAAATCAGTTGCATTTAAGGGGATTTGCTTACTCAGATTGGGCTGCCTGCCCGAATACTAGAAGATCAGTTTCTGGCTTTTGTATATTTCTAGGATCAGCCTTGATCTCTTGGAAGGCAAAGAAACAACTAACAGTGTCAAGGTCTTCCTCAGAAGCAGAATACAGGGCTATTGCTACAGCCTCTTGTGAAATCCAATGGCTATGTTACCTGCTAGAAGCACTGGAAATCAAAATCCAGTCACCTGCAAAATTGTTCACAGATAGTAAATCGGCTATGGCCATTGCTGAGAACCCTGTGTTCCACGAAAGAACTAAACACATTGAATTAGACTTGCAAGTTACTACATGTCACCACTACAAGACAACTAGCTGATGTTTTCACCAAGCCACATGCTCCCAACACCTTCATGGCTTTTATATCCAAGCTTGGTCTACATAATATGTATGATCCAACTTGACGGGGGATATTAGAGAATGCTACTGCTGCCAAGTCAAACACAAAGTCAAGAAGACAGTTTAGTTAGTTATATTTTGCTAAGTCTGTTAGTTTGTTACATTCTGTTTAGCTCATCTTCCTCCCTGTACATATACTCTCCTTTCCTGCTGTTAGTGTAATAATGAAAACTGTTTCTTCTACTTTCTGATCAACCAAATCCTCTCTTCCAAATCTTATCACACTTGGCCAGAGAAGGCGTTTTCTAGTTTGAGCACCTTTAAAGCACTCAATACCCTTGGAAACGTCATTATCGGGAGATTAGTCCCGCTCAACCTCAACTTCTTCAACCTTGTAGAAAACACTAGTTGCTCTAGATGGGTCATACTGTTTTCTGGGATTATAACGGTAAGTGTCTCGAGTTTCGACAAATACCTAATATAATCCAAATACATAGTATTCAAAGTTGAGTATCAAAATTATAAATCAGGAACCTTGAATATCATGTTTTTGCAATTTAAAAGAATATTAGGTTAAGTTTTTCTTCTTCTTTTTTTTTTTTTTTTTTTTTACGTTTAATATAATTAATATTCTTTTGATTATTTATAACAAGATTTAATATTTCAATTATGCTTTTGCAAGTATTTTATACAAATATAATAAATGTTAATATTTTATTAAATACTTTCAAATGATAATCTACGACACATATCTCACAATATATGAAACATGTAAGAGAAAAAACTACCACTGCCAAATATAACAGACGCTTGCAAGATAAAGATTTCATACTACAACTAAGATCCCAATCATATGCACAACAAGACAAATTTAAAACTTATTACACCATAATCTCATTGCATGACGCTGCCCTCTATACTACTGCCAGTAACCAAATTGCACATAACACACTACCAATAAAAAAAAGATGACAAGTACTGAAGATGAAGACAATGACATAGTTTCCCAAAAGAGAATTAAGGAGACTTAGAGAATTTTAAACAAAAAAAAGAGTATTTATTTAGACTATCATTTTTAGACTAAGTATTTAGATTAACGTTATTACAACGTTACAAATATTTATTTTAGTGACAATTATAATCAATCTCTTATATATTATCTTGCATTTATATACTTCGAATTACTGATTTAAATAAACAAATTCAACAGTCAATTATATATGCATGAACATCTCCTATATATATATATATATATATTGAAAATGAAAATTTATAATCTTGCATTGATATACTTTGAAGTACTTATATAAAAATAATCAGTGGACATTATCCATTTGCGCAATGCGCGTAAAAAACTAGTACTATTGATAAGATTCAATCCATAGACCTCAAAATCCTAAAATATCAATACAAGCTACCCGAAAATTCAAAATTCATTATACATAATAATATATTTCTATTAAAACAAATATATATAGGTGGGCCAAACTTAGGACCGCCCCACCTAGGCTGACGGGCCAAGTGAAGTGGTCCTCTAAAATCGAAACCCACACCTGCCTATATAGGGGAAGGGTGGGGCGAGCCAGCAAATAAAGCCCGTGGGAGGGGTGGGGCGAGGCGGCAAATAAATTAAAGCCTGTTTTTATCGCTCTTGTTCATAACTTAAGGGATTAACAATGTTATGCAAAAACATTAATGTAGGTTGTCGAAACGAGCCGGTAGGGTGGGGCCTGCCATATGGCAGGAGCGAACTGAAAAGCCCTCCAAAATATGGGCCTAAGAGCAGCCGCCCCGCGGGCCTTGGCGGGGGCCTAGCAAATTTGAATATATATAAATTTAAATAAAAACTAATATCCTTTCAAAAAATAAAAATTAATATAAAAAG